TGGCCTGTCTCACAAAGCTCTTAGGATGGGAGATATGGGACCCACAGGCACAGACACGTCTTGATGACACACACCAGCAGCAGGCGGACTGCTAAAACCCTCTCAGCTCTGCCACAGACTGCCTTCAGAGCTTATGCAAGTGACTTCGCTGTGGTTTCTTTTGTGGAAAATGGTGGCGTGGGAGTGTCAGTTAATACTTCCTTCATAGCAAGACTTAAATGAGAAAATAAAGATGGAGCACTTTGACCCGTCTCTGACAACTGGTCAACTCTTGGTCATTATGAGTTCCAGCTAGACCACGTGGCTAGGGTGGACTCAGTGGTGTATCCATAAAACAGAATAGTATTCAGTGATAAAAAGGAATGAAGTGAAAGACAAGTGTCACATGATCTCACTCATATGTAGACTCTAATGAACAAAATAAACTGTTGAACAAAATAGATCCAGAGACTTAGAAGTGTGGAACAGACTGATGAATTTCACAAACCCCTCAGGTTGGAACATAGACTACTGGTTGCCCAGGATTAGGTGAGAGTGGGGAGGTTGAGGATAAATGGGTAGTGAGTAATAATAGGTACCAAGTTTCAAGTTGGGGTGATGAAAATATTCCAGAATTGATTGAGGTGATGATTGCACAACTTTGAATATATTAAATATCACTGAATTATAGCCTTTACGTGGGTGAATAATATGGTATTGAATTATATTTCAATAAAGCTGTGACAAAATATATGTCTGGAGAGGAGTATACACTAAAACATTAACAGTGATTTTATTGATTGCTTATTCGTAGTCCCTTTCAAAATTTCTTAAGTTTTTTTTGGCTCAAAAGTGTCACAAATTGTTTTTAAAAACTGTACTTCAAAGACAGATGGCTTAAATTCTTTCTGAAAGAAAGCAGAGTGCAAATATAAAAATGATATTGTAAAGGAACATGTTTTTGAGTTACTGAGGGGCAAGAATTTCTTCTCTCACCGGGACACGCTCTCCCCGGCTGCAGATGCTGCAGTCAGTGGGGGCCTGGTTTGCTTGTTGAACTAAATGGAATGTTGAGGGTTGAGGACTGACAGGGCTCACAGAGATATTTCTATAGATACATGCCTCAGTGTTTTTCCCAGTCCATGCTTATTCTTATCAGTATTCCCACTTTTAGGGGCCAAAACCCCCACATAATTGGGATACTAAACGGAAGGTCAAGGTGATGTCGTAGCCTCTGAAATAATAGTGTTGGATAGTTTCTCACATTTGTCCCCTTCACCATTTTGAATCTCTGGCAGTTGTGAATAGGACATGCATTTAGGCTAAAACATTAAAGTGACACGTGGGCATGAAGTCGTTATAAGTGAAACACAAGTGCATAACTAGAGAGGAAAGGGTAGACTGGGTCTGACAGAGGTGAGGGGGTGGGAGGAGGCAAGAGGAAAAGCATTCATCGGTCTGATCCAGTTTGGAGTTGTATCAAAATAGTGCTAGTATTGAAAGTGTTTGAAGGAATAACTCAAAAAATAAGCAGGCTTCTTTTCCCTGGCTCACCCCCAGGTTGCCTAACGACCCACCACATCTCATTGACTGCTGTGGGCCACCAGATCCAGGTGGAGGAGAGAAGCACTTATTCAGTATCTACAGTGTGCCCTGCAATCTGCTTGGCCCTGGGGGATACAGGCATTGGACCCAAATCGATTTGGACCCAGCCTTTCCGGGACTCTTGGTCTGTAGGGAGAAACAGATTCAGTGAGAGACTATGAACCACCCTAAGGGTTCCTGTGGGCATTTGTGGGGCAAGTGGAGCAAGCTGAGAGCAAGGCCCTTGTTTCTAGTTGTGCTTTGTTGCTGCCCTGCAAACATAACCCAGTTGTGCACTTGACCGTGGACAGTTGAACCCGAGGGTAGGGATGAAACAACAGTAGTTGTCTGGCTGGCTCTGATCATGATTCTTCTTGCCTCCTCCTCGGGGAGGAGTCAGATGGCACAGCAAATGGTAGTTAAAGGAGAATACTGTGCATTCTAAATTTTCAATGTAAGCTTTTTCATTGCTTAAGTCTAGCCTGGTTGGCCCCATTTTTCAAAAGGAGACAGGCTTGTGCACAGAGTTCAAATCTATTAGGCTAATCTGTTTCTTAAGACACTGATATAAATCTTATAGCCACTTAACCCTGTTTTGAAAACCCTGTTTGCTGCTGCAGTGTCACTGGTAAACATGATTATTAGAAATTATTTCTTGTTCTATTGCAGCTTGTCAATAAAAAGGTATGTTTATGAAGTTGGTAAGTCTGATTTACTAGTAGAGGGGGTAATTCTTACTTCTGGGTGGGCCTGGAAAGCAAGATTAATAGGTCTTTAAAACAGAATAGCTTGGAGTTACTGATATCATTATCTGCTGAAGGTTGCTATAGCAATGAGTGGTTTGATTGCACAGTGCAGTTGGTGGTACAGTGGGTGAGTGTAAAAGGATCTGAGTAATTTAGCAGAAACTCTCCTGGAGCAATTTAATTAAACCCCAGTAGAATGAGTGCCAAATTCTTTGAAAGCTCTAAGATGCAGTTCTGTATAGACCTAAATTAATTAATGATACATTGTTATCCTGAATTTATGCTGTCACTTTTCAAAAAATATATATTTTATTGAATTTTTTACAGAGAGGAAGGGAGAGGGATAGAGAGTTAGAAACATCGATGACAGAGAAACATCGATCAGCTGCCTCCTGCACACTCCGTACTGGGGATGTGCCCGCAACCAAAGTACATGCCCTTGACCAGACTCGAACCTGGGACCCTTGAGTCCGCAGGCTGACGCTCTATCCACTGAGCCAAACTGGTTAGGGCTGTCACAAATATCTTAATGATTTTAGTATAAAGGTTTTATAACTTTGCAAATTATCTTTTAAATGATGGAATACAAATTTTATGAAGACTTGCCTATTTTAATATAGTTTTTAAAAAATTAAACAAAATTACATTAGACTATAAGGAAAAAATGTAAGCTGGCCATGAACAAAACCTAGCTTTTTGAGAGGGGCGGGGAGCTGGGGTGAGAACACACTACCAGGGTGAACACATTCTTTACTGTTGCATGCTGGACTACCAGATGACATAGCCTTCTTCATTAGCCATCTTGAATCAAATGTGCACTGTTCTTCTGAATCATCAGTGTTGGTGTAGAATTCTTTAGGAATGCAGAATCATCCTAATTTAAGAGCATATGGTCTGACATGGCTTTAAAGGAATATTCTGTCAAGGACAAAATAAACACGTGTGTGGCTCTCGGATATCTGTGCAGGCGTGTCTGTTGAAACGTTGGTTCTGGTTACCCTTCCCTTCATCTTTAATGCATTGCTGATATCTTTCCCGCTTACCTAATTTTTAGGATTTGTGTATACATGTTTCAAAACAAACAAGCAAACAAACAAGCCCTACTATGTTACTACAATGTGGTAAACAACATAGTGGGTGCTCCACATCAGCTTTCTGCATCTGTGCAGTGGGATGAAAAGCTTTGGACATAGGCCCTGACACAGCAGGCTTTTGCATTGTGAAGTTGGCCTCGTTGACACACACATTGCTGGCCATGCTGCCCTGCCGGTGTTACTCTGCTGCCACCTAGAGGCCTGTGTGGAGTGTGCATGTAAAGGTAGGCAGGATGCCGGGGAACTAAAGCTGCCTGGGCTGTGTGTCTGCTGCCGCTCTGTCTTTATTCCCGGTTGAGGTCCGTTGACATGACCACACACAATTGAGGCGCTTGCTTTTTCATTTCTCCTTGTGGAGCTAATGTGACTATGAGTTCAAGAACCGTACACTATTTTGGAGTGTTAATATCTTATTACTTGTTCGATGAAAAGCAAATTCAAAGTTTTTGTGATGTAGATTGTTAAAAACCCCTCATGCCAGTGAGAAAGTTGACTGCTTTGCTTCATCCTTGCCTCAAGGTGTAAATGAATCCCTTATACTTTTCTAAGCAGACACACGGAAGAAAACTCCCAACATGTTGCCAGGCAGTGAGAAGAGCTTGAAAAAGCCCACTTGGAGGTCTGAGGCCTGCGGTGACTTAAATGAATAAGTGTGGCAGAGCCTACTTAATGGACCTGCTGGGAAAAGCAGTGGGGTTTCCCCATAATGAGCTCTAAGCAGGGCCAGGGGGGCAGGGGAGCTGAGGGGCCCAGAGTAGGGCCTTGGGGCCCACAATGTTGGATGTTAATACAAATTCAGAGCAAAGATTCTTAGCCATCTGCCCTTTTATTTTCTTTGGACCCAAACCGGCTGTTGGTGGTTATTGAACAACAGTGGAACCTTGTTTACCGGCAACTGAGTGTTTGGGAAGAGAACCAATCAGTCAAGGCACAGAGAAAAATACCCCCTAAGTGAACCTTCCTGAACATCCCAGAACATCCTGACCACTGATATTTCCAGGAAAACCTTTATTCAGAGAGGGGCACCGGCATGCCTGCGGCTTGTCAGTGCTGAGCCTGCCACCATCCGAGGCTGAGCTAAGGGCTGTGCTGGCATTCTAGACTTTCCCTGGTGCCCCAGGAAAGGCCAGACTGCATCTAGAATGAAGGGTGCTCGTTTGAAACATGAAATCTCTGGTATTTGAGGAAATAGATGTGCGGGATTTCCTCAGGTGGGTACAAGATATGGCCTTAGAATCTGTGCTATTTTGAAGAGCCTTCCGTTAGTGAGCAGCCTTCCTCCTGTATCAAGGGCCTTTATTTACCTAATGACCGGCTTTATCCCCCTTCAGGATTTCCTGTGAGAGCTCCTGGGCTTTTTACATCTTGGTCCACACAAATAATCCCAGAGTGTGGCCAGTAAGGTTATGAGATACGCTGCTCTGCAGACAGTTGATTTTTAAGAAGCTTAATCTAAATACCTGGTTTTATGCAGACAGTTTCTGGACAGTTCATTTTTATTCTTCATCTAGTTTCTTCCTTCCTTTCTTTTTTTTATTTAAAAAGAAAACCGAAAGCTTTCATCAGCAGATCCTGATGAGAATTATTCCTTTTGCAGAGGTTAAGAATTCGGTGTCCAGTAGATCTTCACCTGAACAGGAGGATGGAAAGGTAATGACTCCCTGGCCCCCTTTTTTTTCTTTGTGCTGCTCCCCAAAGTTAAAGTGGAAGTGAAGATCTGGTGGTAGTAATTTTTTTTACAACCCCCCCAAGAAAAAACAACAACACACATACACACACACACACACACACACACACACACACACACACTCAAGGGTGTGCCCCACGCCACATTCAGAATAACTTGAAATTCACTTTTCTTTATCGAATTTTCCATCTCTAATGTTTATGACCATACCTAGCTATCTTTCTAGTAGTGTATGCAAGATGACATAATAGATTTTCCAAAAAAAACTTGTACTTCAGGACTGATAAGTAGCTGTGTGCCGGTAAGGCCCTTGCTAGAGTGAACCTGGGAGAGAGCCTTGGAGCAAAAGAAACTATGGAGAGCTCGCAGGCAGGTTTCAGCTTGGGACAGGTCCGTCTCGTATTTTTAGCTCTTAAATACTATCAGTTAAGGACAAGACTAGTTTTCTGTTTATGTGTGGTGCACATGTAACATGTCTTTACTGGTGTTCTCTGGGGTTGTTTTTCTAGTTTACAAAAATAAGGAAGCATTAATATGGCATTAAAAACACACACACCTGACTTTATCTCTTCCAGGGCGTGAAAAGCCTGGTGGTTCAACTGAATGAGCATGAAGACCAGGACAGTCTAGATTTGGGTAGGTTCCAAAATATGGCTTCCCCTTGCACTGCTAGGGGCAGCACCGTCCCAGGTGCATGGAGGACAAGAAGGAAATATATTTAAAAAAGAAAGTCTTCCTTCCTGGGAGCCTTGTCTGTTTCTTGAAACTCCCTCAGATACATTTTCTTTGCAGCATTAGTTATGCAATGACCTCAGAGGTTGAGTCTCTATTTATAATGTATAAAGCAAAACCATCAAAACAAAGCAATGAAGGCTTTTCCTGAGCTGTTTTGTTCTGAGCCAGCTGGGGCTGGGGACTTGGCCTATGTTACCTTGTCAGGCACAGCCCTCAGGTGAAGCGACTCCCCTCGCGGAGAGTGCCTCGTGGAACTGGGACTGATAACGTCCTTCCTCCTGGCCCTGGAATCCCCAAGCTGACCACTATTTCATGTTGATACCCCCGTGTGGCCCCTTGGAGCTGAGCTGATAGGATCTTACCCTTGGTCTCCTTCAAAGGCCCCGGGAGGCCCCTGGGCAAGGTGAAGGCCTCCTTCCTGTGGGCCTGGAAATTCCCCTCTGCTCACAGGCATGCTAGTTCACAGCGCCCTGAGGGCTCCTCCACAAAGCTCTTCCCTAGACATTTTCTAATTCTTCAGGACTAATCCAGGCCCAGAGTCCTCCTTTGAGTTACAGCCTGATAAGGCTGTTGGGTTGGAGGACATACATAGGCTGGGCAGAGGCCTCGTCTGGCCACATGGGTGGTCTTTGAAGGCCTCTGTGCTAAGTGGAAAGCAGATAAGCACCAACTTTCCTAGGTGGTGTCTTCAGGCTCAGCACAGCTGAGGCAGGTCACATACCTGGAAAGCACAAGGGCCAAGCAGTCGTAGGAGTTGCAGAGGTGGCGGTGGTGGTGGTGGTGGTGGTGCAATGCTCAGGCTGGTGTGAAATCGGGAAAACCAAGACAATGCCCAGGGTGGTCCCGCAGAACCTAGAGGTCGGGGTGCTCCCTGGAGGTCCATGGAGCGTTATGGGCACATTTGGCAGCTACTCGACAAAGCAGTTACAACAGTTGGGAAATCATGAAGAATGAGGCCGGGGAGGAGGAAGCACCCTCAGGGGTGGTTGGCTGAGCTGCTGGTAGCTTGGCCATGAGCCAGCAGTGATTTGCTGGAACTCTTTGCGTGTGGAGCTCCTGAAATTGGAACAGACACGGAGACCATCCCCAGCAACCCACATGCCTTTACTATTCCTGCTATATAAGGTAAGAGGAAGAATTGACTTCTGGAAGTGGGGAGATGAGAGGTGCAGGCCAGCATGTTCATCTGGATGGCTGCTGTGGCCACGAAAGCCGCGAGCGTGGCCCTAGCTCATGTATACAGGATGTCACATCCACCCAGTGCATCACACACCCGGGAATGCTAGCTCCGAATAATGTTTACCAAGACAAATTGCTGGTGGGGGTGAGTGTTGGCTGGTAAACGTATGAAATACCAGGATTATTTTATTTTTATTTTTAAAAATATGTATTTTATTGATTTTTTGCAGAGAGGAAGGGAGAGGGATAGAGAGTTAGAAACGTCGATGAGAGAGAAACATCTATCTGCTGCCTCCTGCACACCCCCCTACTGGGGATGTGCCCGCAACCAAGGTACATGCCCTTGACCGGAATCGAACCTGGGACCCTTCAGTCCACAGGCTGACGCTCTATCCACTGAGTCAAACCGGATAGGGCATACCAGGATTATTTTAATTTCAGGTTTTGAAAACTCACTTCATTCTCAAACTGGTATACTTGCTGGGTAAAGAAGACACGCGTGAAGGAAATTGTGGTAGCCTGACCTAATCCGGGTGTGTTGTCAGTAACATCATTGTGTCTGAGGAGGATTGTAGGGAAGGGTTTGAGACAGAACCGTGTGTGACGTTAACCCGGTGATTTATGAAAGGGTTGTGAATGATTGTGCCTCGTGCTTACATTTGCTTTTTGTTAACTTAAACTTTTTTTGGATTAAAAAAAGGTACCTGACTTTATGCAAAGAAAATGATAATAGATTTTAAAAGAACCTTCTGACTCAGAGAAGGGGGCAGCCAGCAGTGAGCAATAGGCAGATGCCAAGCTGGAGTCTGCAGCTGAAAACCGCTTTTCCTCAAGGCCATTGTCAGCCTGTTTTGCTGTTTTATACGCGTGTACGTTCTGTTCGGTCTCTAGGGCAGGGCTGATACATGTGGGGTCAAGGGATGTCTTTGCTGAATTGTATTATTGAAAATGTTTGATGTGAGTGTAGTGTGATCTCATAGACTACATCCGCGCTGTTGCGATAGAACTCTGTGACGATGGACATGTTCTGAATCTGCACTATTCTGTGGTCGCCAACAGCCACATCTGTTTCTAGAATGTGTGATGTGTAACTAGTGTGACTGAGGAGTTGACTTTTACATTTTATTTAATTTATTACGCTGGGAATTGACGTTGTATTGTTGTTGTTAACCCATCAGAGCATCAGGAATCCTACTGGCCACTAGTTATCCACCGAGAATGTTGATTGGAGGGTTAATGTCTCCAGGGGACAGCACTTAGTAAGCTCTTCCGAGCCAGTGCCCCAGCCACCTCATCGAGAAGTGATAGTAGGATTCCATTTATGGTGAGCCAGCAGTGATGGGCCCACTCTCTGTGGATGCTGCAAGGGCCTGGTGTTTTGCTCAAAAGGGAGGGCGGGGACCCGATTCCACTGCAGTGGAGAGTGGGACGCCCCAGTGGTTCTTTCACATTCTTGGCAGGTAGAATGGGAGGAGAGGGCAAAGCATCTGGAGGAAATGGAAAAAGAGAAGGTAGATGAAATGGATCGATACAGAAATTAAGAAGGAAGGAAGGAAGGGTCCAGTTAGTCCCTGACCGAAGTGTAGAAGTATAGGGGGCTAAAAATGATTAAAAACTAGAGGCTCAGTAGTGGGCAGTGGCAAATGCTGTGCCCAGGAGAAGGGAAGTGAGCATCTGGCAGGAACAAGTAGACTGCCTGTGGGAAGATGGCCGAGCTTTGGCTGCCCTATTGGATTCCCAACTGCAAACAGAGATGCATTAGCTGTAAACAGCTTGTTTAGCTGCTCTTTGCAAACTTTACTTTTAAAAGGTTGAATCTGAAAAATGAAAACCATGTCCAACTCACAGTTGAGTTCATGCTGAGGACTGTGACACAAGAGCGCCGGTATCTCAGGTGAATTGCAGAAGCTCCTGGAAGGTGACACCCCTGCTCTCTCAGCAAGTGATATTCCAGAGTGTGAGTAGGTGATGTGTGACAGCCAGATTTGGTGACACACATACCGAAGCTGATTTTCTCGCAGTCATGGCTGCATTGGACTAAAGAGTATTTGAAACTCACTTGGCTAAAATTGTATATTGTATGACTATTGGATGGGGGGAAAAGAAGGGATTTGGTGAAACTGACTTACTCAAACAAGAACTATGTGAGCATCGTGTAACTTTCCTCATGGGGGACGATGGAAGGCAAATAGGGAGAGACTAGGGGAGGTGGCGGCGGCATTGTCTGGCATCATCTGTTTTGCTCGGGCAGTCCCAGTACCTTGACTGAGGATCTAGGCATAAAGCAGTGCCATGTCTGCTGTTCCAGGTTTGGCTGGCACACAGTGGACTTGGTGTAAGTATCAGAGAAGATTTTAAACATAACATCTTGCTAAATAGCTTTTGATGAAAAAATAATTGTTTTTTAAAATCATGTAGAAAAATCAGAAATTTTAGAGTGAGTAGAAAAAAAGAAAAACATCCTTATAATTTTCCTATGCCCAAGGAGCTACTCTTAAATTTTGGTATATTTCCTACCAGCATTTTTTCCTATGCATCTATTGTTTATATCGTTATGATCATGCAAACAGTAGAATTTTGTGTCCTGCTTTATTCATTAAACAGCAAATACCATAAGTATGCTCCATTTCAAAAGGTAGCTTATACCAATTCTGACCATTTCCTACAAAAAATATGGGTTATTTTTCCAAGAGGAAAAGGAAGATGTCACAGAGTCTCCAGAGAAGTATATTATTTGACTTTAAGGAGTGGCTTGGTTGTCAGTAGGTGCTGAGGCTTGAATCCCAATTATTCTTTAACACTTTGGGTCACTTCATTGCTCTTGCTGTTCGTTACTTATACATGGTCTGAGAAAAAGCAAGCCTCTCTCAATGGGTGTTGAGCCTGGGAAGGTGGGCGTGAGGGAGACAGATGAACAAAAGTGGGATGTGGAAGGAGACCAGACTTGATCCCCCAAAGCAGAAACAGATAGAAGCAAACGTTAGGCTGTGAGGTGCTTCAGATTGCTCAGCCTAAACGACACAGACTTCTGTTACTGCGGACCAGACCAAGAAGGAGAAACAAAGGCCCCACACAGGAAGCTCAGTGAGACGCCAGCAAAGGGAATCTGGAAGGAAATGATTGGAAGATCCAAAGAAACAGTGCCTCTAGTGCTGGTCAGGCAAACCATCAGTTAAGTAGGACTAATTAGATTAATATTTCTTTTCTTATGTTCACTAAAAGTTTGGAAATGAAAGTAATGCTGTTAAGCTGTAAAAACTTACAAAACTGTATTTTTAAATTGTTTGTGAGCATACAGTTTTGCAAATGTTCCCAACAACATTTTGGGAACATTAAGGTCCTAGATCAGCCGTGGACAAACTACGGCCCGCGGGCCGGATCCGGCCCGTTTGAAATGAATAAAACTAAAAAAAAAAAAAAAAGACTGTACCCTTTTATGTAATGATGTTTACTTTGAATTTATATTAGTTCATACAAACACTCCATCCATGCTTTTGTTCCGGCCCTCCGGTCCAGTTTAAGAACCCATTGTGTCCCTCGAGTCAAAAAGTTTGCCCACCCCTGTTAGATCTTAAGTGTGAAATCTTAAGATCTAGGACCCATGTCAGTGGAAGTTGGTCCTCTATTGGCTATTATTATTTTTTATTTTTATTTTTTAGGTGAAAACTACAGAAACCTTATTGTAAGCAGACACTACCTCTAAAACCTAATTCTAAATTCTA